CACTCTGAGCACAAAACGATTTTAAAATGAGAAATGAGTTTTTTGACCAAGTATTGAGTCTGTGATTGACCATAGCCAAAATGACTCAACAAAGGAAAACAAAAGGTAAACAACCTAAACACATCTATTGATGCTCAAAACGACTCAAAACAAGAATCGAGACAAATAAAAACACACACACAACACTCAGATGTGTGCCAACAGTAGGAGACCTCTCAGTTTACGAGGAGCCTGTTTCTTCGGGTATTGTTTCCCACCCTTTCTTATTTGTGATTCTCACATCACTCTGGCACTCAATCTCTTTTTCTCTTAAAAGCCCTTTTCTCACTTTTCTCTCCATGCGCATCTCTCTTATTCTTCAATCTCTCTTATTTTTGTATCCCTTCCCTGGATGGTTGATGGATAAACCGAAAGTTGTGGGCTCTTGCCCCTAGTATTCTACTAGATTCTTCTTCTTTCGCTCACAACTAGCGAGCTTCTCCCACAGAGGGGTTGCGATGCGACCAGATGCACAGCAGATCTGCAATTGACATCGGTTGATGATGCCCTTGCCTTAATTTGATCGAGGTGAGTTACAGCCTGTCCCACCGGTCAGGCATACAATTGATTGGTCTTACACATTGCTTCTTCTACATCCTCATTTCGGGTCAAACGCTGATTTTGATTTGATCATCCAGATGAGGGAACCGAATATCCTGCTCCAGTTCCAATTCGTGCTTCGCACTTAGTTTGATACCTCGCTGCTCGGAGGATATGAGAGCTTTCTACCCTTTGCTTTTAACTTCAATTGTGCCCTTTCTAGCGAACAAGGTGCCTTTTCTGGCAAGTATGTTGACATGGGTGAAAAGACAGGAAGCCTGACTCAACTGTGCCCCTAGTTCATCATTTTGACCATTTTTTGCTTTGGTTTTCTACTAAAACAATTTTGACCAACATGAGAGTTAAATTAATACACTTGTTCGATTTTATGATTTGAAATCATGCAAGCCAGGCTATGAGCACTAAAAATTTTCCTTTTTCAGGTCCAAGAAATGGTTCAATTTTGGAAAATAGAATAATTTTCGAGAGAAAATTAGTCAACCTCATTAAAAACTCTCAAAAACTGTTTTTACAAATGGCCACTACTCGGCCAACGCAGAATTTACTCTTGAGATGCACAACCTCAGATCTAAAACAATGGAAAATTATCCCTTGTCTAAATGGCACTGCACAGCAATGGAAAGTTGCCCCTTGTCTGAATGGCATCACAGCGCACTGTAATCAATCCTCAAATTGACGATCATAACCGAACTCTCGGATACAGAGAAGACAAAGATGATCAGAACCATTACATGGACACAGTCGATTTGGAAGTGTTTATGGCTAGACTTCAGAATGAAGTTGCCTACGTATCCCAAAGATGGGAATCAAGCCTGACGTAGTTCCGGGTTAAGGTACACTTGGGTATTTAACCTCTCCTTTTGCGCTCTAACTTTTGCCAAGGCTGCCCTTCCAGGTTTTCAATCTTGCGAGCTCTATTTTTCTTTTCTTTTCATTTCTTTTCTTCTTTTTTCAACTTTTCTTTTCATATTCTTCATTTTTTTTCTTTTCTTTTTTCATTTTTTTGCATTTTTTTTCTTTTTTTTTTTTTTGTTCTTTTTCTTATTTTTCTTGCTCTAACTTTTGCCTGGGTCACCCTTCTGGGTTTTTAGCCCAGCAAGCCTCTCAAGGGTAAAAGGTGTAACAAGTCCATGTTGAATGGCCGTAGGATCTCGAATCCTGAATCCAAGGGAATGGCTGTTGTTTGCTGATGATATAGGAGTCCATCCAACCAGGTCTGAATTGCCCTAGTGTTGTGGATAGGAACTCAATTGTCCTTCAACAATACTTTCTTCTTTCCTCCCTTCTGGGATTTGGCATTCTTGTCGATCTTCGTTAACTTGAGAAATGTCCCAATTTTTTACTCTTCAAGCACATCTAACATTTTTTGCCCCTAGTTCAAGGGCTGCTTCTTATCCAACTTTGCAAGCTTTCTTTTGATCATGTCTGACCTTCTTGCCCCTAGTTCATGGGTTGCTTCGAATTTGGCTTAATGGGCCTCCTTTGATGTTGACCGTTGAACATTCTGAATTAAGGTTCAAGGTTTGAAAACAAAAGGGATCGAGTCTTGAGGCTGAGAGTGATCCTAAGCTGCACAATCTCAAAAGCGATTCCACACAGGTCTTCGCAAAACCACGCAAAACATTTTTTGAAATCTTTTAAGAAAGCGACTAGTCGCTCGCGCTGAAGACAATGTAGAACCAATCTGGATCAAGCCAGTCTTTTAAGAAAGCGACTGGTCACTCGCGCTGAAGACAATGTATAACCGATCTGGATCAAGCTAGGATCCTTCTCAGTACTCACATTAAAAAACATGATCTTATTCATTAAGGGCTTAGCATGCCTCTATTTCTCTCAATTTGATCAAATTTTTGCAAATCCCGAGGAATTCTTTCTTCTTCGTTTTCAACACATTGTTCAAAAAGTTTTGAAAAACTTAGGTCAATGCAATGATTTCAAGGCACAGAAAAGTAGGCGAAAAGCATTGCCATTTCATTCAAATCTTCTGGCACAACTGGCTTTAGGGTAGAAACATATGCAAAGGGGTGAAAATCACTACTGTTTCATTCAGATCTTCTGGCGCAATTGGCCCTATGGCAGAAACAGACCCAAAAGAGTGTAAAAGACAAACACAAAACAAGATAGTGATGTCCGAGGTAACGCCCCCCGAAATCACCCGACTTTAACACGATAGGACTGACTCGATACAACAAGACAGACCCAACTGACTCAGTACAAAAAGACTGACTCAATGCAACACAACAAGACTGACCCAACACCCAAGTCAGAAAGTACAATAAACAACTTTTGCGCATGCTCAAAACAGTGCGTGCCCTCCCCAAATCTGGAGTAAATTGAGCGCCATCCGCAGGTGGTTCATTCCCCAATCACATAATCACATTATCCCCCAAGTTCATCAATCCCGTGCCGATAGACTTTGCAGGACCTGGCGCGACGATGACCTCTTTATCAATCAGATCTTGTATTTCGTAGCGAAGATGAAAACACATGTCAGTGTCATGGTCGGCTTGTTGATGGAAGGCACAGTACTTAGCAGCATCATATGAGAGAGGGAGGTTATTTGGTAATGGTCACGGCTCCAGGGGCTTGAGATGGCCTTGTCCTATAAGGATTTGGAAAGCTTTGGACAAAGTCATGTAGAGGGGATTGAAAACCCTCTGGCCTCAAGGTGGGTACTTCGAGGTTTGTGTATTTTTGTCGGATGCACCGGCAAAGGGATTAGTAGGCGCTGACTGGGTCTGCTGATCTCTTCCAAGTACAGGTTTAGAGTTGAAAGGAACGTTTTTGGTACAACGGTCCTTCTCCTGGCTTGCCCCTTGATTCAAAATACTCTCATCCTCAGTAACGAAAGTGTCATCCACAGTCTTTACAACAACTGCAAGCACTTGCTGTTTGTTCAATCCTTCGGCTTTCAAAGCCTCAACAGCCCACTGAAGGTGTTCATGGGGACCAATGCATGCCCCAGCCTTGTTCTTACCATTTACCTCAGCTTGGCCAAAGGATTGGGTCGCTGTATCAGAGCGAAGCCCCGTTGTTGCTGACATGCCACCACCCAGATCTGAGATGGCTTTAGGTTGGCCCTTTTCAATTGCCGCTTGCCCCAAGATCAAGGAGCCTTTTGGGCTGAAACTTCTGGCCTGTGATGTGGTCGATGACGAAGTCAATATCCCAAAGGCCAGATCTGCCACTGTTCTCTAAAGATCTTCAATCATTCGCATCAGCTCAGAAGTAGTGGGCTCACAGGTTTGAGATGATTGGGGTTCAGATGCACCCATCATGCATAAGTCCAAGCTCTCTGGGATAAACACCCCAGGCTTGGGTAGATGGGCTTGGGTGATGTATATGCTGGGGTTGTAGTCGGATGGCAGTATATGGATCTGATTGAGACGCAGAGATAACGAGTCAGTACTAGCCCAAGGTCCTTTAGGTGGAGGTATGGTCTCTTCGTCAATAAGATCCTGAATCTTATAACGGAGGCGGATGCAACGGTTCGTATCATGACCGTGTTGTTGATGATAAGCACAGTATTTAGCTGGGTCATATCTTGGTGGAAGAGGATTTGGAAGGGGTTGAGGTTCTAGGAGCTCTAGGTGCCCTTCATCTCGCAGCATTTTCAAAGCTTGAGAGAGACTCATGTAAAGAGGATGGAAATTTCGGGCTTGGGGCCAAGTTGAAGTAATTGGTTTTTGGGCATTGAGGGAAGTGGTGATAGTGTCTACTTCTGAGCATTTCACAGATGTGCTACCATCAGTAGTAGCATTGGAACTGCGAATAACATTCTTCTTCAAAGGCTCATTATCTTCCGCAAAAATCCCTTGTCAAATGGCATTCTCGATTTGAACCCCCATTCCATGAAGGTCTGGAAAGGTAAACAATGGTAGAACGATCATCTTCTGCAGCAACTTGCCATGCAAATTTTGAACAATCATCCTAATCTGATCTTTGTCGAAAGGCCTTGTAGTCATCATCGAGGCCTTTGCTCTCTATCTTGTCACGAACTCTGAGAAACCCTCCTTTGGCTCTTGGCGGGTGACTTCAAGATCACGAGTTGTGACCTCGATCTGTGTGTTGTAGGAGTATTGAGCAATAAAGGCATCAGCCAGCTCTTCCCAATTCTGTTTCACAGAGTCCTCCAACTTAGCATACCAGATTGCGGCTATCCCAGACATGGTTCGACCAAAGAGAGACAACTTCTGGGCTGTGGTCAAACCCATCGGCCTCAGGATATCAAAAAACAAGTGGAGATGCACCATTGGGTCTCCAGAGCCATCGAAGCAGTCGATACGCGGCATTTTAAACCGCTCCAGTAAGGTAACTACAGATTCAGTATACCCATCCTCTAAATCCGGGATAGAGTTCACTCCTTGTGCTTGTTTGAATAATTTCTCTAGTTTATTGACCTTAAGTGCAGTTGAGTCAACCTCAAATCCAAATGGAGCTTCGGCTTGATAGACAGGAGCTTTAGAGACTTGCTCTGGGATTGGCTCCACTAGATTACCCTGAGTCTGTTGGAAATTAGCAGTATAGGCAGTGGCTCTGGGTGTCGGGTTACGCGTGGGAGGTGCATGAGATATAGAAGTAGCAGCCTGCTGTGGCTGTTGTTGTTGTAGTTGGGTTATCACTTCGGCCTGACGAGCCATGACTTCAGCCTGACAAGCCGTGACTTCAGCCTAGCGAACTGCATCCTGCTGCAATGCCTCGATTGTTTGTTGCAAGTACCGCATCTGTTCTTCCATACTGGCTGGGGGATACTGAGCCATGGGAATGGGTGATTGATCTCATGCTGAGCTGAATGCAGACAACTGTTCCCAGACCAAACTAGACTCGGGTGAATTGAAGTGTGATTGCTGTAGAAACTATACTGGTGAATTCTGCCTGAACCTCCCTCGTCTTGTAACTGGTGGGGGTGAACTAAACACAAGTTGCTTCTGAACCAATTCCGACCTGACAAAGTCTATCAATACAAGTCCAATGTACCCGGGGATATTGCAGCCTTCTGAAGCTATAGTTCCAAGACTACCTTGTAAAAGAGAAAACAGACAACATCTCAGCTTGATTTCACAAAAACAAATATGAGCATAGCTGACTGACTGCACTCTTTACTGAATTCTGCCCAAAATTCTGCCTGTAAACTGAGACCCTTAGGCTAATACTCAAACTTGCAACTGATACATACATCCTATAGAGACACACTCCTAATAGCACATACCAAGCAAGTAAGAGCCAAAACACCCCTATGTTGGGGTAAGGTTTCCCTGTCCTATCTTGTCAGGAGCTAGCGTTTCACTACGCACGCAGTGGTTTCAAACAACCTACAATCGGGTAAGCAACCTGTCCTAGCTTGGAATGGTCACTATGGATTCCGATATGCACTAGGTCGAATGGTCAAAAAAGGTGCCTCGGTAAAAACCGAGGTTTGTGTTCCCATCATGGCAGAGCCCGCAATCGGTTAGCCTTATGGTACGTTTTTCCAAGCAAGCCTCCGGCAAATAGTTCAGGAATAGTAGATGGCAAACACTGTGACTTAAGCGCACCAATGCAAATGCAATGCAAAGAAACACATAAGTGTAGACAAAACAATATATCATGAGTTTGAGTCAAGTTCTCTAAATCCCCAGTAGAGTCGCCAGAAACTGTAGACCGCCTGGAACTCCACTCCTCACGCGAGGGCGCTGTAGACACCCTATTTTTGACCGTCCTCAAGACTTGGACGTCATTGTTTGAACACTCGATGATTATCCATGTTTGTGTTCGTCCTGAGTTCTCGGAGGTCTCGGCCACGTGCCTTGCCTCAAGACCTCTCGACTTGCCTATTTTGTGTTTGGTTTTGCACTGAACACTTGTGTTTTTGTTTCTAAGGGTGGGAAATAGCTTGTTAGCCATCCCCATACCTCACCAGCCATGGCTCAAAGCCACCGGCCCTGTTTTGTTGCTATCGGCCATTGTCTATGGCCGGTCGGCACTCTGTCTGGTCGGTCGACCAGTGTTTTGGTTAATTTGTCATTTTTGGCTGGCCGACCACTGTTCATCTGCTTTTGACAGATATTTTGTGCCAGCTGTGATAGCTGTCACCCACAATTAACCCCCTCCATACACGTGTATGGAGGGATTTCCCTCTTGCTTAGCTTGTTTTGTAAGCTTTGCAAGATTGGAATTCCTATAAAGGGAGGGCTTCTCCTCCCTCCTCAAGAGTTTCAAGAAGTTCCAGAGGTTTGGTTTTAGGGTTAGGAGTCTTGTATTTATCCTATCTCTATATCTCCCTCTCCTTTTGATTTGTGTGTGTATAAGGTGTGTTTGTTCTTAGTTTTCCACTGAGGCACCTAGTGTTACACCATACCTTAGATGCTGAGGTGCCAAAGGGTTGTTCTTGGAGTTTTTGAGCTAGTTTTGACCTAAGGAAGCTGCTGGAGCTCTCTTCTTGAAGAAGGTCTTCAAGGGTAAGAACCTTACCCCTTTATTCCCCATTTTTGTACAAGCTATTAACCTATCTTGCATCTATTTTTAGGCTTAGTGTATAACTGAGAAAAGTTCATTTTTTACTTGCTTTTGATCTTTGTTTAAGGTCTCTTTGGTGTTTGGGGTTGTTTGCCCCCTCTTAGGCCTTGTTTGGTCTCATTTTGTGCCTCTTTTTGTAAGCTTCAGGACCACCTTGTATTGGTCTTCCCACCACTGAAATCCAGAGGGATTTTAGTGGTGGGGATGATGTTTTGAGGTCCTAAGAAGGAGAGGGTATCCCCTCTCCTTGTTGCCTGCAATATTTGTCATTTTTGCCTCATGTGTAAGCATCTTGTTTAAGTTCATGATGGCCATGTCTTAGCTGGTATTTGTGGTTGTTTTGCCATGTTATATCTTTGTTTCAAGTTGGTTTAGACACACCATTCATGCTTTGCATACTTGCCTTGTAATGCCATGAAATTGCCTTAACATGCTTTGTGCTTTGAGCTTTGAGCCTTGTTTTTAGCATGATTTTGGCTTAGCTTTGTGAAGCTTTTATGCATGTTTTAGTGTGCTTGAGGTCTGACTTTGGTTATTTGGGTCGTCCATGACTTGCTTTGTATAGCTACCATGCAATCTCCCTTATAGGCCTTGAGTGTTGGCCTCTCTAACATGCTCTCCTTGCATCATTTCAGTGGTTTGGCACCACTTATCATATCACTTCAGTCCATATGGTATGCTTGTATGCTTGTATTTGATACTCCTTTGATGCTTTAAAAGGTTGATGTCTTATGCTCCATGTTTGGACCATTATGTATGCTTCCATGTGTAGGCCATTTAGATGCCAGCTAAGTGTGTTTTGGGCCTTGTCTCGACCTACATTGGGACTGTTTTGAGTCCCCTCGACCCTTTGGGACTCGCCTTGCATAGCCATGGTTTGATCCCTTAAGTTAGCCTTAGGCCTTGGGCTTGGTTGCATGCTATGCTTGCCTTGTTTAATTGGTTTGGCACCTTTTCTAACATGATTTCAGAGCTTGCTATGCTTGTCATATGTCCATGTTCATCCCTTTTAAGTGTGCTAAAAAGTTGCCTCTTTATGCTTAAGTGTTGGACATGTGTGCGTGCATGTTTGTATGTGACTTTGTCCCTTGTCTCTTAGCATCTTCGCCACTGATTTGGGCCTATTTTAGAGCTGTCCAAATTGGTTTAAGACCATCCTTTGCATGTTGTCGCATGCTCGCCTTGTGTGTTGTTACGTACTTGGCCTATCGCATGTTGCTGCATGCTTGAATCGCATTGCATTTGGTATGCATTTTCTTTGCTAAAGTTGCTTTACATGTTCCCATGCTAAGTCCCATTCACATGTTGTTGCATGTTGGTTATTAGCATTATTGTTACATGTCTCGCATGCTTGTTTGCTTAGGTTATGTGCCAAGTACACATTGCCTGTTTGCATGCTCATATTGCATACTTAGCTCGCATGCTCAGGTTGCATTTTGCATGCATGCCTTGCCTCTTGAATCACCATGATAGAGGTTGGGTCCCTTGTTTGTTTGGTGTGCATTTCATTTGACATTGAAATGGCACACTTGGCCTCTTTGGTCATCACGCATTGAAATGCGGGATTGGTGGCCCGAGGGTCGAGGGCCACACTCCCTTGAGTTTATAACATGATGGGGAGGTTGGTTGTGCAAACATTTGCTTTAAAATGCATTGCCATGCCTAGTTTGCCCTCTGCTGCTGTCAAAACAGGATTCTGCAGGAAGATATGGTCGACCGACCATATTGAGTGCCGGCCGACTAAATATCTTTGGCCGAGAGCCATACCAATGGTCGATGACCAGTTTCCCCTGGCCGGTAGTGTTTCCTCTTGGTCGGTGACCTTCCATAGTGATCAGGAAGTGATTCTGGAGCATCATTGAGACTTGCACAACTTTCAGAGAAGTAGAGCAGGGTAAACAGAGGCAGCTTGTGCATGGTGGTGGATTTCCGAGCGAAGCCGAGCACGCATGCATTGGACCCTCTTCTCGAGGCTGTTTTACCACTTTATTAGCTTAGTTAATTTGCTTAACTAGTTAAGTGGTCTGTAACTATTTAATTAGCTTGTTAGCTAGTTAAATTTGTATTATTCTTTTGTTCCCTCCGAGAGAGGGCGAATTGTGTAATATGCGTACGTGTGTGTGATGCATGTCTTCCAACCCCCACTTCTTTCTCCCTTTTACTTACCTGCTTTGATGGATAGTATTAGGGCATATTTTAATTAGCATCCTTATGCTATGCATGTGTGCATTCATTCATTAGTATTGCATGCACCGGGCTCGACGCGTCATACTAACTGCATAGTATTTCAAATCTAACTTGAATACATGTTATATGTTGCATTTCACATGCCATCCATAGATTAGCCGAGCCTATTCTAGCTGCATTTTGCCTGCGATGCATTAGCCATCTTAACATAGACTTGGATCATACATTTGATTACTAACATGTTCCTTGATTTGGCTTGGAGTACTAGGTGAGTGTTTATGCTTTGGCATCTCGCATGAGTGTGAATGTTAACATGAAAGCATGCTTGCCATGAGGCTAACCACTTAGTTGATTTACTGCCTGAATGCCTGTGGGTGAAGGTTGGATTGTTTGAATTGGAATAATTCATCGAAATCTGTATTTTAGCCTACTTGCGAATAGCAAACCTTAAATCATTTCCAAACAATGGATGTGCGATGCTTTGTTCCAAATTAGGCAATCTAGTCTATACTTTTGTGTTGTGAGCGTCACATAGTAATTCTAGGCTAATAATCGGAATAAGAACACATAATGTTTTCAAAACTTGATATCATGGTTAGTAGAGGCCGATCTTTGATCGGGCGAGCGGGGGTGCTCATAGCTGACCTTCTCCAATCGTACCCAAGCTCCCGAGCCGAGGCAACTTTGGTGATGACGGACACATGGCCTTAGGCAAACGAGTCAGGGTTTCCTAAATTCCCCCATAAAAAATATTTAGGTGGCGACTCTGTATCTGGCAAAACAGTCCATGTTTGGCACTTCTTTCTAAAAATCAGTTTTCCAAAACGATTTGCTGGATTTGGACTCTTTGGTGATTTATCAGTCTTGCATTGCATTTTGCAAGATCAGATTAAGAACCGACACAAAACGAGTCCGAACTGTGGAAGAGCACAGGGCCCGAAGGCGCGTCCACAGTTTC